GGTAAGTAGATGGGTAGGTTACCAGAGAGGAAGTGGGTATACTCTTCTGTATATTTCAATGGCTTTTTGGCTGATAGGTTGGTATACTGTAAATAGCCAGAAAAAGCTCTGGCCCCATATACCGGCGTATATCCTCTACTAAACCAGTGGATGTCGACATTGGTTTCACTTTATTTGAATGAAGTGAAAGCTTGGAAATGGTTTAGTCATGTTTACATCGTGATATAAGTAGAACCCGATCATTACTAACCTATATGTGCACTTACGCAATCACACTCATCCCTCAAATATGGCTGTCAAACACTTGTGACAAAGATATATAATAGAGGCAGAGTATTTTACAATTTAACAATTAACTTTGTCAGTGCACTAAAATAGAAAATTCATTGGGAATTTAATAATTAGAAACTACTTAAAGCATCTTTTTCTGCATTATGTTCTGGTAAAAATAGACTGTTCATATCAGTGTACATAGGACAACATATAAACTAATACTGATACATCTATGATAGGCCGATATCCGCCGATAAAACTGGCCAACTGATATATCAGTCGGGCTCTCTCTTCGACGTGCAGACCACGGATGGATTGGGGGGCTTCATGATGGGGCAGGCTATGGGACAGTGGTGTCCGGTAGCCCTCCATGCTGCCCCCCTTCCCATCTTTATCTGTTCTCCAATTTTAAAGCACCACATACACCTACATTTTGGGGGACAGATGGGAACAGGTTCCAGGTGCCTTATGGCTGCACAGGCTGCAGGACAGCAGTGTGCTGTAGCCATCAGCCTTGCCCCCACCTGTCTCCTATGTCCCTCAATTTTAATGCACCACATCACACTTATGGGCACTCACATTCACATTCACGGTGTAGGGTTAATGTTTCTCCGTCAGGGATTGGAGAATCATAGTAAGAGGGGGGGTGCGTCCGCGTTGGGTGGTGGGTGGGTGGGCCCTCCTGCCCCGCCTGTCTGGGGTGTGTCTCTGGCTCTCTGGGGGTGCCGGCCATTGCCGCCCTGGGTCCTTGGGCCTGCGTGGTGTCCTGCGGCCTCTGCGGCTCCCTGGTCTTGGGGTCTGGGCGCTCCTGCGGTCTTGGGGTGCCATACCGCCCCCCTTCCCCTGCAGGGCTGGCCCTGGACCCTGGTGATGGTTTTCATAAACACATTGGGAGGGTTCAAATACACGCATGCATGTTCGATACTTCAGCTCCGTGACGCATCGCAAAGAACCGATGGGATCACTCCAAAGGGGCCCACTTGCTTCTCAAACCTACCACACTGCGCTGGCAACTCTTCTCTACAATCAGGCTTTCCCCCTCCACCAGGACTCTCACATTTTTGGTGTTCAGTATAGACTTCTCTTTTGTTTTTGTTTTTCAGTACAGTATAGTAGACATGTATATGTTTATTTTTGATAATCTGCATGGAGCACAACCACCTCAAGGCCACAATACATCAGCTACACTGCCTGTTTCTCCCCTGTTTTTTTTGTTTGTTTATTTGTTTGTTTATTTTTCCTCCTTCTTCTCCGCATGCACTGTCGCTATATAACTCAGGACTTAAGCACCTGCCCCCTCCCCCCTTGCTTGTTTCCTTACTTTCCCCTTGACACACTTTGGTGTATCACGGCCCTCTCTGGCTCATATTAGGAAGTTTTTCCAATAAAGGCTGTTAGGCTAGTCTCCAGGGAGGGTGGGTGATGGTCACAACCACGCATTATGGGTATAAAATACTTGACTGCAAGATTAACAGTGCATCAATCTTCACAAGAAGCTTACACCCTTTTGTGACGCTAAGCTATGAAGACCAATGCAGACAAGTAGGAAAAAGAAAAAAGAAAAAAAAAAATCAGTCGGGCTCTCGTTATAGAGAGCTTAGTTTTGTTACTGTTGGGTGGTGATGTAGTTAAGAGAAGAGATTCCATGTTGGTGTGTTTTAGAAAAACAAGAAGCTTTGCATTCCATTTTGTGACATCCATGTTGGCCTCTTGCTGGTTGACTACCAGATGTTTAAAATACATTCCCATCAGCCTCACTATACTTTGTGTGTACTGCTATTTTGATGAAATTGAATTATCGTTAATTAGCATGTTTGCATTGTCATGTTGTAAGCATGTATGCATTTAGCTCAAAGCATTGCTGTGTCTAAGAACAGCTTCACAGAGCTGGTAGCATAACTGTAGACTCTTGGTCTTGTTACTGGCTAATTGTAAAATGAAATACTTTTCTATGATTAATCAACTCATCACCTTAGTGCAAAAATATCTAATATTGATAGGAAATGACATTAACTTTTACATAAACATAGTTGTAACTAAATGTTGACTCTGAAAATTGGAATCAGTTTAAAACTTAAAATCCTAAAATCTCCAGCAGTGATGTGAAGAGTCATTAAACACAACAACAGACCTCCAGTGTGCAGACAGAAGCTGACAGAGAGGAATCCTGGGAACACAGTGTTTCTGTTATTTTGTCCACCCCTGCAGCAGGCCCTCTGTGTATCAGCAGGCTGTTCTGGCAGGCTCAGCACACCGAGGTATTTACTAATTACAGGGGAAGCGGGGGTCACGACCCCTGTAATTACCAGCTCTAATTGGCTAGCCCGCAGGACTGCCGACCAATCAGCTGCCATCAGGAAATTACTACCCTAGATAATAGTGTGTGTGTGTGTGTGTGTGTGTGTGTGTGTGTGTGTGTGCGTGCCGGCCTGGCTGTGTTTCCCACACTGTGTTCGTACATTACTTTGGTTCGTTGGTTTCAGTCACATTACTGACATATCTCCACCACTGTTGGATAAATTGTGAACTCATTATGACTTTATGATTTTAGCATGTTACTACAATCCTTGACTTTAACCCCCCTAATTAACATTTACAAATAGAGTGTACACACATACATTGTGACACATTATAATGTTGTCATTTATTAGCAGATAAATGGACATTCAGACTATTTATTAATGTATTTGTCAGCCTTTGATAGTTTGATACAGAAGAAAATTTAAAACAGGATGACCATCAGACAAGATCTGAATTTATGAGGAGTGTTTTTTTTTATGATTTTTAACCAGATTTATAGATATTTTGGCAAGTTGTTACCTTTAAAAATATGTTGAATGATCTGTTAGCAGCTCCTGTTTTTCTATGTATCTAAGGATGTACAGATTAGGGATGCGTGTGATTAGCATAGATTGTAAAGATACTGGACATAGCTGTTGTGACATCACCATACTTGGGTGAGAGGAGGAGCAAGAGATTGCTCTGACAAAGAAGCTGAGGACACTATCAGCAGACAGCCTGTCACTCAAACGGCCCCGCCCTTAATGGGAAAAAATTTTCAGCACTAATTTGCATGCATATAGTTTTGAGCTACAGATCAGATGATCTTGATGACTGTTTCTTTAAACAGCTTGCTGAACTGATGCATTTGTCCTACAGATGATATATAACAGTATAACAGCTGTAGACGGTTCTATGCTTTATAATATTATCCACACATTACAACACCATTATTCCACAATCATATCTTTTAATTTTCAAGTTTTTGTAGTTTACAGATTAGTTTCAAAATTTTCATAAAACAATAAAACTTATGTATAGAGTAGCCTAACAAGCAGCCCACTATTCTCTGGCAGACAGAAACACTTTTTTTCGTGTAGCTTACAGCCTTTTCTGTGTAGCCTATGTCATATGAACTTAATTACTTTCAACTATCAATTAAATTGCATAAACAAATCGGATGTCAATTCAGTGGGCGAGTGAACCTAGTCATTGCTTAAACCTTACCTAGGAGTTTGCAACAGTTATTTCTAACGTTACATACCAAAACTGATCTATTACTAGCTAAAGGCAACTGTTATGACAACATGACAGCACCTTATCTCTGCCTCAGCAAACGTTACAATTATATTTGGTAGGGACATTTCATGTTCCCGTGGCTTTGGTATGGACATTTCCATAGCGTCCGTACCTAAAACTACACCTATGGGTACACGTAACACTGGTGGTACCTTAGCTCCCTCTAGTGGTACATGCATAAATCTCTGAATTTTTATGAATTTTTATTTTTATTATGTTTTTGGGTTGTCCGTCTGTCCGTCCATTTATACATACATCTGTGTCCAATCCTCGTCAACACAAAATCACAAGAATGCCTCAAGGGAATTGCTTCAGATTTGGCACAAATGTCTACTTGGACTTGAACTGATGAACTGATTGGATTTCGGTGGTCAATGGACAAGGTCTCATTCTTGTGAACACGATATTTTAAGAACCTCATAAGGGAATTTCTTTAAATTTTACACAAACTTCCACTTGGACTGAAGAATAAACTAATAAGGATTTGGTAGTCATAAGTCAAATGTCAGTGTGACCTCACAAAATATGTTTTTGGCCATAACTCAAGAATTCATACGCTAATTATGACAAAACTACACACAAATGTTTAATAGGATCAAATAATTAAGTGCTGACACTTTATATCCAAAAGGTTAAAGGTCAACTTCACTGTAACATCATAATGTTCTGTATAAAACACTTTTCTGGCCATTATTCAACGTCGTATCTCAGGAACAGAAGGGGAGACATTTGGTCAGATACTGAATTGGCGACTCTAAGCTTGGGTGCCCACCTTGAAACTGCTGATTGTATAGATCCTCTGTGCTGTTGAGGGGACAATGGGTGTGAAGCATCCATGTTTTCACAGATATGGATGTAAACTGTAAGAGAAACTTGAGTGGAAAGTGGAGGCATACAACCACGGGTTGGGAATTCTAGTTCTTTTTTTAAAATTATTTCTAAGTGGATTTATTGATGTTTATTTATGATAGACGTCAGAGATAAGAATATCCTTTAAAGTGTGAATTACTCTAAATCTAATACTGTGTATCTGACTGAGTTATAACTGTTAGAGGGCGCGTGATTTTAGATGCATTTTTTTTTTTTTTCATTTTGACTGGTTAAAGAAATCAAACATACCCCCTGTGATGATTGGTTTGTTTTGCCAGATCTGTCAGAGAAGAAGAGCGACCTGCGAGTGTGTGACGCTGGGACGTGTCGCTTCGGAGGAACCTGCCGCGAGAATGGAGCCGACATTAAGTGTGTCTGTCAGTTCCATGTGAGTGACACACACACACACACACACACACACACACACAATGTTCTTTGCGTCTCACCTGTAGTTGTTTACATTTGGTTTCATATTCACACTGACTTATTACAAACAAACTAAGATGAGTAAATATGAAGTCATCCAGACAGACAGGTCAGTCTGTGATTGGACAGTCTTGGTGATGCCATCCAAGCCCGGTTCTAGGCAGGCATATATGAGGGGGCAGTCATAAATATGAAGGGGGCATCATGCTCCAGCACACTTTTGCCATAGGTAGAGCTGACAAATAAAGGTCACTCACTCGCAGGATGTGGGGACGCTGTGTGAGTGCCCTATAGAGGGTGTCAATGCACCATGGTCTCAAATGTGCTCGCCGCTTGTTTTGTTGTTGATAACAGTGTTTTCTACATGGAATAGACCTATGGCTAAGCCACGCCCCCTTCCACGCACTCTGTCAGGCCTCCACCCTAAGACCTGTCCAACTTGGGTGTCCCACCTTAAGACTAAGCTCCTGCTGGTATAGCTCTTAGGGTCACTGAGGCACACAAACCCCCTGACCACAATAAGGTGGCAATCCCTCAGGGAGGAAAACTGAAAAATAAAATAAACAAAAAATAAGATAAAAATTAAGAAAAAATAAAATAAAAATATCCTTCATCCAGGCACAACCAACATCTTAACATTTATCTTGTTGGATGGCCATTAGGCATCTAGGCATATGAAATAAATTTCAACCTAATAATTACAATAACCTCACTATAGCCAGTATTTACCAAAGCTAGTCTTATAAAAAAAACTTCTCAAACTAACAGAACTAACAAACACAGCAGATATAGGCTAGAACAAAACATTTTACATTTTTTTGTTTTGGTTTTTTGTTGTTTTTTGTTTTTTTTTGCTAGCAATTTAACAGATTTCTCTTCACTCCACTCTCCTTTGAGCTGCTGAAAGCTGCAGGAGTGAAAAGTTAATTAAAGCTTTGTTAAAAAAAAAGCTGTGATTATCAAAAAACAGCATGCAGAACTAGAGGCTGGGCGGGGCTTTATGTAGGGGTCTGGCACACACAGGGCATTTGTCCTCAGTATGTGACATGCAGCAGGCACTCATCTCTCGCTGTGCTTGTGTGATTAAAGAAATGTTTGCATTGACAGGCTCACACTCTATGCTCACACTGCTATATTTACTTTTGTTTTTTGTTGTTAAGTATATAGGCTATTAAGTATCTCACGACACGAGATGCTACGACGAGTTTAACGGAGCTTCACTTTACTGCTGCATTCTGCTTCACTGAGACTGAGAAACCTGACGCCGATGCATCGTGGCTCATTTGCATACTAAACAGTGATTGGGTGTTTACTGGGGGGAGGGTCTCTGTCGACTGCAGACAGTAGATCACACACAGCCTGCACACAACACAGAGTGGAGTGGAGATAGATGAGAAAACTTTTCTGTTTTGTGCCTTTTTCGGCAGATTTGATTTGAGGGGGCAAGACATTTGTTTAAGGGGGCATTGTCCCCTCTTGCCCCTGTGTAGACCCGGCCTCAATGCCATCTTGAATCATCAGCGCTACATGGACCCACATAGGGAAATCACATTCTGACTCTGATGTGTTCATTGATCCTCTCTGAAGTTACCAACAGTTAAACATTATGAGCATCATTAGCCATGACTTTGTGTTTTTGTTCTTCACTGTCCCTGTCATCTGACGGTTAATGGCCTCTTCGTTTGCGAGGGCAAGGAGGGCGCGCAATTCCTTGTCTCCCCAGTTGCTCATCTTTACAGTGTCTTTCAGGTTTGCATTTCCCTCTTGCTACTAGCTGCTCGCTAATTCCTACTATCTGCTGTTTCCTGTTTATCCACTGCCAGTCGCTCACACGTGCGGCGTCATCAACAGCTCCTCCCACAAGTCTTCAACAGCCCCTCCCGTTGGGGAAGGCCGTCTTTTTAAACTAAAAGGCTCCACCAATAAGACTACCCTACGAGGCGGAAAATTGGGCACCTCGAATCAACTCACCAATCCGGCTCTGTGTGTCTAAACACTGGCAAAACAGACCAACATTTGTGGAAAATCTGGCAGTGTAAGGGAGCGATCACACAGAAATGAGACGCTAGAGACGCAGACGCTTCAAAGACGCTTGAAGCGTTGGAAGCGCTTATTCAGTGCGTGCTAGACAAAAAAACAGCAAGGAACACTTGTGGAGTGGTGGTGCGTGCGCAACACACACACACACACACACACACACACA